GTGTATGGGTGCGTGGCAAGCCTCAGGTGGCAGGCTGAGGACTGTGTTATTTCCAGGCTTCCTTACCACATGTTTTGTGGCACGCGCCCCACCCCCCGCATTTATCCTGATACCCTCCATAGGCAGGGAGCTCAGGGAATCCCTTCCATTGGCCAAGATGGAGCAGGAGGAGGTTCTTACATTGAGTAGCCAAAAATTAGAAAGATGAATGGACAGGTCCCCAGCTCGCCAAAAGCTAGCAACACAACTGGATAGAAAAAAACCACTCCCCTCCTAATTTCTACAAGAAAAGTGGGCTTGAGCATGAAGGGAAGATAGTCTTTGAGATGGGAGTACACCATTCTCCCAAGTTGAGGCACCCAAATAAATCTCTTTCCTTTTGCACCAGCACGTGTCTCAGGAGTTTGGCTTTGGTTGCCCAATTGCATTTTGGTTACAGTACCTTGGATAGTTTCTCCACCTATTTCCACAGAGTTCTCAATAACTGTTCACCAGGACCTGTGCCTGTTTCAGCAGGCGGTGAGCATCATGGATTCATTTATGAATGACACCTTCTGACACATTGCCCACAAGGCCTCTTCCTGGACCATTCCAGCAAGCATGCCACCATGACCTCCAGAGACATCCAGTCAGCCATGCACCTGCTTCTCCCTGGGCAGGTCTGAAAGCATGCCATGTGTGTGAAGGTCAAGGCTATCCTCCAGTACCAATTGCCTAAATGAGCTACATCAACACCATATGAGCATCTGAATATCACAACCCCAAAGCTCTTTTCAGAGCCACCACACTTATCACAAGAGACTTATACCTGAGAGAGAAGATGGTGGCACTCTGACAAGAAGCAGAGCACACTTGCTCCACAGCCACGGACTGGATTTACATCTAAAATACTGTGTAACCAGCTTGAAAAAAAAGAGAAAGGTACCTGAGTGGACATATTTTGAGTAAGGAGCACTGAAGAAACATCATAGAGTCTGGTTAGGAGGGTGCATAGAAAGGAGGAGTCACCCCTGAAGCCAGTGCTGGGCTGTGAGGCCTTAGGGTTAGAGGCTGCAAAACTCCCTCCTCTTCCAAGTGTGGACTGGCATCCAATATCTGGGATCTCAAACCCAGAGTGGAGGAGAAAGCAAGGAGAGCCCATGCACATCATGCAGAGGGACTCAGGGGTACAGTGTGCCTACGAGGAGGGGGCCGCGCCTTCCCAGTGAAACAACTCACCTAATGGCCCTGGCAGGAGAGATTCACCCCTGGTGCTGATGGCAGGAAAGGCTGTCCTACAGGGTGTGGCTTCCAAATAGAAAGGGTCAGAGGGCTGAACTCAATCACCTACAGGGATCCTCTGCTTTCCTGTAAGACATTGTGTAGAACCTCAGAAAGCATTTCAACTATGTGGCATGGGGAAGGTGAAGAGACCCCTCCCGCCACCAGAGAGGGTGGATCAGGACTCCAGCTGCCAAGAGCTGCTGGTGGGGTGAATCAGATTTTTTACCTGATCTGAGGGGAGCTGGGATAGCAGGCACCTCTCTGGCTTCTAAAGGACGGTAAGCTGGGGGAGAAGACAGCTGGTAATGAAGAAAAATGGGAAAGTTGAAAAGGAGACCAAAGTGAGACCTAGTCTGGGATAGAAATTACCTTACTCTTAATGGATGGAAAAGGTGAGGTCATAGAGCTTCCATGTGTCTTTGTGAGACATCAGAAATCAGCCTGATAATAATGTACTTTCAAAAAGAATAGAACACAAAGTACAAGTTTCAGCAAGGCAAAGGAGAGGCAGGGCTTGTAGTTAGGGCTTGCATGACCAGAATTTTCTCATTTCACCCTAAACTGACTGAGTTCCACTGAATTCCACTGAGTTCACAAACACACACACACACATACACACACAGGGAAGGGGAACCCAATATTTTATGGTGACCAAATTAATTATTGTGCTGGAGAAAATGATGGCATGACTCTCAACAGAAGAGGGCCTAAAGCATCAAGATTGTCAGTCATCCAGGGTGCAAACTCTGTTGGATGGCTCTCTTCCCTCTCCTGGGCTCTCATCCATATCTACTTAGTCATCATGGACTATTGATTTATTTTTTTTCATCTAATGTACCTCACATCTGTCCCTTTGTTTTTAATCCTTGCGCCATTCTATCAGACCAGGTGCTCATCAACTCATGCTTGAAAAACAACTGAACTAACTAATGGGGAGAAAATAAAAGGGTCAGCTTAAGGGCTAACTAACTGCAAATTTCCTCTTAGGGGAAGAGTTCTATGTTTGTTTTAGCAAACACCTTGATGGGTCATTTTGATTGCTGAAAGATCACCCTTGGATTATGGTTGGAATACACCTGGAACCAAACTGTTCTGCTTGAGAAATTAGCAGTAATGGCATGGCCTCTGCAATGAGAGGCAGGGCACTTTCCTCCACCAAGATACACACAACACAGGTAGTTCAGATGCTACACAACCATAAAAAGATTGGTAAATATTTACCATAATACACCAATCACTTGTGAAATCTTTACCAGGTTGTTCAGTTTTATAAGTTCTTTATACAGAGTCCTTTATGAGAGACATGATTTTTTAAAATATTCTCCTTTTCTGCAGGTTGTCTTTTCATTTTATTGAAGGTATGCTTTGAAACACAAAAGTTTTAAATGTTGATGAAGTCCCATTTAACTACTTTTTCTTTTGTTGCTTGTGTTTTTGGTGTCATATCTAAGAAACCATTGCCTAACCCCAAGTCAACAAAGATGTATTACTGTGTTTTCTTCTAATAGTTTTGAAGTTTTAGCTCTTAAATTTCGGTGTATGATCCATTTTGAGCTAATTTTTGTATATAGTGTGAGGAAGAGGTTCCCCAACTAATGGCTGCAAGCCAGCGAGCCCTATCACTCAGTTTCAAGATTCTTTGCTGCTAGTCAGCTGTTCCTTTCATGCCTTTCAGTTGATTCTTACTGCACACATTGGGCTGCTTCTCGCTACTGACATTAAATCCCTTTCTCACCACTTTCTTTATCAATATATGGCTCAAGTAAAATCTAGTGACCTTAGGTTTTTCTTTTTTTAAGGAAAAAAGAAAAGACCCTGAAGTCAATTGTTGCTGCTGTATAGAAGAAATGGAAATTACATGGTTTACTTCTGCCACCTGCTGTCAGTCACAGTTCAGACAATTTGTAGCCCAAGAAGTTGACCGGGTTAGCAAATTTAAATCATTCAGGGGTTGGGTAGGCAGTAGGAGTGTGTGCAAGGTTCTGGTTAAGAACTGTGAACTGCTACCACCAGCCCATAATAAGTAGGCAGCAGCTCTTTCCCTCCAGAGAATTATTGCCATAAGGGGCCATTGATTGGTTCGGTAAGGCCAGATCACTGAATTTTTTTCAAGAGAATCCAGAAATCTAGATATTTAAATGTGAATGCTCCCAATTTTTAACTGATAATTTAAGAAAAGTCTAAGTGCCATGGCAACCAAACAAAACAAGTCTCTAAGATAATAGTTTGCAACCTCTTTCCTGCCACAGTCCCAAGGACTATTTTGATTAATACAGGAGTGAAATTAAAAGCAATTTTCTCTAATGAAATTCAAGTGATATTAGCAGTGACCCAGCATCTTTAGGCTGCTTGACTTATTTTGGAATCTGAAGACATGGGCTTCCTTGAGGACAGAGGGACCAAGTATTCTGCAACTTCGTCTCTTTCAATGAGTACATTGCCCTGGATGGAGTAAGTGCTCAATCAACAAAGGATAGATGAATAGGTTTATGCTTTGACCCTGCCACTGAACAGCTCTGGGATCTAGGGTGAATGAACAGCTCTGGGACTTAGTGTGAATCAAATAGTTTCTCTGAGTGTCCATTTCTTCATATGTAAAATGTGAGTTGTGATGTTAATTTTTTTTTAATCCTCACCCAAGGATATGGTTTTTAAATTGATTTTCTAGAGAGAAAAGAAGG